TTTTGAAGTAATTCAAGCGGCATGTCTTGTCTATTAGGCGAATCTGACATATATCATGGGTGTTTGTGCAACCTTCAGGATACATAGCAACCTTCTATTTCTTGCCATGACGACAAAAACTACATACAGCACTGAGCAAGACAGCGACGATGCGAAGATGAATATGATTTCAAGAAAAACAAACATCGTGTTTCAGAGAGTCCCAAACGTTGGAGATTTTTTGTATTCAGATGTTTTTAATACAGTGACGAGTTCTTTATTTAGCTCACATCAGAATGTCTAACACAGTCGACGTTAAATGTCAGATGAAACGTATACGCCTCGGCCGATTATTTTCTCTTCGACGTGCATTTTGTTGAGGTTACGAATGATGTCATCACTTTATGCGCACCACCTGTCGTCCATGTTTGTTATACAGTACATAGGGATTCATGTGGTCTTAATATGCCGAGGGTTGGTGATAACGCATGTTGTGTAGGGAATAAGGGCGGTGGGGTAGCCTAGTGGTTAAAAGCGTTCGCTCGTCACGCCGAATGCCCGGGTTCGATTCCCCACATTGTACAATGTGTGAAGTCCAATTCTGGTGCCCCCCGCCGTGATATCGCTGAAAGCGGCGTGAAGCCCAACTCACTCACTACTACTACTACTACTACTACTACTACTACTACTACTACTACTACTACTACTACGGGCGCACGGGCAACCCAGCATCGAAGCCGTTGGTATTTGTGGAGCAGGTGCGTCCCTTTTCCATGCCAGATTCCTGTGATCCCGTGTTTGAATCCCAGATTTTTAATGATTCCTGATTCTTGATGTAACAGGCCATCGTGGGTTTACAAAACGTTTTGACCAAAGTGGTAAGCGTATAAAACTTGCATCATTTCCGGCTTGCTTCCCAAATCAAGCTGACACACTCACTCACTCACTCCACCATACCTTGACGTAGATGACGTAAACAAAACAGACCCCAGATATTCAAATATACAAGTAGGCGAACGCGCACAACTTCCCTCGTGCCAACAAGATCATTCGCATCACAGACTAAGCTCAAAGAAACACGGAATAAAACCTAAAACAGGCGCTCTTCTGGAAATCACCTCCCCAAAAAACGTTTGTATGCTCTCGCAGTCTGACACAACTCTTTGAACTCACTTACCGAAGTGAGGAGACGAATCACAGCTGTTATTCGGTTCGTTAGAGGTTACCTAACATTTTTAACTTTCGCCTCAAAGTGTGTGGAGTTGGTTTATCTCATCTTCGAACACTATTTCAGTCATGTCACGACATCAGCCTGGAACAAGCATAGACAGATTTAGGCCGAACCGGGATTGTACAAGCTCGATGTTATATGTCTTCAGGAGCTGTTGACATCAAATCAAAGACTGCAGTAAATCTCCGAGGGTTGACCAACCTACCGATTTTGTGCTCAATGAATTGAATATGATTCTGTGTCATTTGATTGGCTTTATAAAATCCAAGAAAAAACCCGTTATTAAGCCACGCCTGCTAATTAATAGACTAAAGTTTCCTGATTGGGTGGCGTTAATGGGCTTTTGTCGGATTGTTGCGCGAAACTGTGTCATTGTTGTCCAAGGTATTTCGTTATGAATTAGATAAGCAGTCTGTGAAATCATAAATTATAACATTAACTTCCATATGTGCATGACCCGTGAAGATCCGGGTTCGAACTGATCTTCAGTAACCCATGCTTGTCGTAAGAGGCGACTAACGGTATCGGGTGGTCAGGCTCGCTGACTTGGTTGACACATGTCATCGGTTCCCAATTGCGTAAATCGATGCTCATAATGTTGGTCACTGGATTGTCTGGTTCAGACTCGATTATTTACAGACCGCCGCCATATAGCTGGAATATTGCTGAGTGTGGCTTAAAACTAAACTCACTTACTCCATATGTGTTTGCGCTCACATGTGAAACCCCGTGTCCACACTATGCGTAATTCAGCAGAGCGACGAGGCTGAAAGATAACCCTGACACGAAAATCACCTGACACGGTCCCCGTGGTAATCCAATTTCAGAATACATATAGATGCATTTATTATCCATCTACTTCCCAACATGGATTCTTTAGTTAACTATCCTAATGATTTTCCTTCAAAATAACCACGTTTTTCATAAAACTGTTTCTCAGAATAACTTTTATCTAAAGTTTAACATATAAAAATAGAAACTAATTGAATACACTTGAAGGACGTTGGTGTGTTTATTCTAGATTGAATATTAATAGAAGAGCGGTACTTGTTAACCAGGGCAACTCCCTCATCGCCAGCCAAATAATACAAAATTCTTCACTTTCTTGTCGACTGCTGATGAGGGATAAGGCTTCCTATATCATCGTCATTTGGGATAATTGTTTTGCCAAGATGTAGATAAATCCTCAGTTAACTGTTTATATTCATAAGTAAAGAGTTTTGTCACCAAGTCAAGTGTTACAGGCTATCTTGATCAGATCGTGTGTGCTGAGTATTTGCACAGGTGCATACGTCAGCAATTAGCCTTACTCCAAGGCTGTACTAAATTATAAGTCCATGGATGTGTAGTAATTATCGGCAAGTCTAGATAAACGACACTATAGGACGCCAGTCTTTCCCAGAACAACTGTTTTCTATTTTTCTTATATAATCTATAAATTATTACTTAAACTAAAAATATTGCTTTAGAGACTATGCAAGTATAACCAGCGAAGTCACGACGTCCTACGGGTCCAAGACAGACAAACCAATAGCATCAGAATCGTTCCACCCTCGATTATCAAATAGCCTGAACCTTATGTCATAATCATGTCGACCCGTGAAGATCCGGGTTGGAATTGGTTTTCAGCATCCCATGATTGTCGTAAAAGGCGGCAAACGGAATCGGTGGTCAGACTCGCTGACTTTCTTGACACATGTCATCGTATCCCGATTGCGTAGATCGATGTTCATGCTATTGATCATTTGATTGTCTGGTCCAGTTTACAGACCGTCACCATAGAGATGGAATATTGGTGAGAGCGGCATTAACCAAACAAACAGTCGAACATATTCATGTCTGTGTGGAATTTATAGTCGTAGGTTGTAGACATTTACAAATGCAGTGAGATCATGAGGGCGAGATTCGAACCCATGACTTGACCTTCACTGACGACCTTCACCGAAAAAACCGGAAGTAGCTAGCATATGTCTGTATTCTGATGCTAGTTATTGGGTGTAAATGTGCAGATGTTAATGGAACGTATACAACCTCACAACGGACGAGGAACGCCCACCCACGACCACAGGTATGGGGGCTAACAAACTCAGAATCATGATCAGGGCGTTTCTGATATTTGAACCACTAGGTCCCTCTGGACAAACACTTTGTGGCAACCCCGCTGAGTTCGTGCCATCTAAGCTGAGTCTTCAAGCAACAATCCCACATGTATTGATATGCTTAATAGAGCTGTGGTCATGGTGATACCAATAACAGCTAATATATGTTTATACTCACGGTGGTGAACGTCCTTTCACCAACACACGTACATAGTCCTTGATTTCCTGGTATAGGATGAGGATGGGATGTGTGTTTGTGTGTGTGTGTGCGTGTGCGCATGCGTACGTGGACTTACGACTGTGTGATATTGTACCGCCATCCGCTATATATGTAACATTTATTCATGATCACTTGTCAATTGCTTATGTTCAAATACAGCTTTATTTTAAAACATGGTGAGTGAGTGAGTTGGGTTTTACTCCACTTTTAGCAATATTCCAGCAAAGTCACGGCGGGGGACACCAGATATCGACTTTACACTTTGTACCCATGTGGGAAATCGAACCCGGGGGCAAGCGACTGGGCTACCCCACCGCCCCTAGTAGTAGCAGTAGCAGAAGCAGCAGTAGTAGCAGTAGTAGCAGCAGCAGCAGCAGTAGTAGTAGTAGTAATGAGGTGAGGTGAAATTGGGTGTTACGTCGTGCTTGAGAATATTTCGCTCATATGACGACGTGCATGCGTGTGTATGTGTATGGGCGGTTGCTTGTACTAGCCCAGACTTAAGCTGGTTTTATAGTGCTAGCCCACTGAGATACCATGCCGCAGTGAAGCATGAATACCCCACTCAGACACATTATACTGACTCCGAGCCGACCAGTCCTGGTTGTACCCATTAATGCCGAGCGCCAGGCAGGGACCAACAAGTGCCATATTTTAACGTCTTTTGGTATGACGCGGTCGGGGATCGAACCCGCGACCTTCCGCTCTCCGGGCGGACGCTCTAACCACTACACCACGGAGGCGGTCAGTAGTAGTAGTAGTAGTAGTAGTAGTAGTAGTAGTAGTAGTAGTAGTAGTAGTAGTAGTAGTAGTAGTAGTAGTAGTAAAACTGTGATATGTTCGCCCCATTCAATTGTTGTGATAGATTCCCCTCTGTGGCTGTGATATTTTAATGATAACCCAACTCAACCTCCCTCCCCTCCCTCACCTACACACACACACACACACACACACACACACACACACACACACACACACACACACACACACACACACACACGCATAATAAATAAAAGCCTAAATAATCTAGACCATATTGCTGACATATCTTCGTTTTGAGCCGCTTTCGAAGGACTCGTCGCAAGAAGCAGCCACCCAGTCAGGTTACACTCAGCAGCAACAGAAAATGTGTGCAAATTTATGATAGATCTTGAGATTGTGACGTCACACCGAAAACCAATGCTTTAGTAGTGCAGTGGTCGAGGATATTTCCCCAACAAAATGGATACATTATACCCCAGATAATGACGGATTGTGTTCACTTTGAAGCTATATACATGCATGTTTATACAGATACCCTGTGGCGTCACAAATGGCATCTTAGGATATTGGGTTAAGCTGGTTTAAGAGAAATGCCATCCTCCCTGCCCTAGGTCAGGGTAGGGGAGATATAGTTCCCCCAATCCTGGCAGAGGCATGTGAGTCGGATCTGTTTCAAATGTCAGATGTATTTATGATGTTGTATTTTCAGCTCTGTGTCACACATTCGTCACTTCTGATGGAGAGGACGGCACGAAACACTTGCAGAAGTCCTCTAAAGGTACGACATGGTTCTGTAAAAAGTAGGCTCTTGCTCGAATACTTTGTGCAAAACTACAGGTGTCACGATTCACCGATATGTCGAATTTACACCTGATGATACGATACGCGACTCGTGTATGATCCATATTTACATTCTGTTTCGACATTCCAAGCTATATATTTTCATTTTTGTCAATAACCTATACTGATGAAAACTCTGGCCAGCGTTACCGAACTGCCTACCATAAAAATGGCTTCTGTAAACCACAGGGGTATTAGTCAGTGAGTGAGTGAGTGAGTGAGTTTTTAGTTTTACGCCGCTTGTAGCAATATTCCAGCAATATCACGGCGGGGGACACCAGAAATGGACGTAACATATTAGTCAGTGACTTTGTCGACTCCACATCCCGCAGATCAACGCCGTTGTCTTGTTGGTCGAGTGTTTGCCTGGAGCGGAAGGTCGGTGGTCGAGTGTTTGCCTGGAGCGGAAGGTCGGTGGTTGAGTGTTTGCCTGGAGCGGAAGGTCGGTGGTTGAGTGTTTGCCTGGGGCGGAAGGTCGGTGGTCGAGTGTTTGCCTGGAGCGGAAGGTCGGTGGTTGAGTGTTTGCCTGGAGCGGAAGGTCGGTGGTTGAGTGTTTGCCTGGAGCGGAAGGTCGGTGGTTGAGTGTTTGCCTGGAGCGGAAGGTCGGTGGTCGAGTGTTTGCCTGGAGCGGAAGGTCGGTGGTCGAGTGTTTGCCTGGAGCGGAAGGTCGGTGGTCGAGTGTTTGCCTGGGGCGGAAGGTCGGTGGTTGAGTGTTTGCCTGGGACGGAAGGTCGGTGGTTGAGTGTTTGCCTGGAGCGGAAGGTCGGTGGTTGAGTGTTTGCCTGGAGCGGAAGGTCGGTGGTTCGATCCCCAGCTGCATCATGACAAACACGTCACAGATGGTACTTGTTGTCACCCTGCCTGCCTTTGGCATAAGGGTTTTAAAGGAAAGATTCGTCGGTGTCTTCAGTTTAATATGTCTTTATGGAGTATCTACAATACAACTGCAGAATGGCAGTGCACTGGACTAGAGCCTTCATGTATCACGAATTTTAAAAAACGCACACACGCACGTACGCACGTACACGCACATGTCGCTTTAAGGTGCAATAAGGATGGTGGGATAGCCCTGTGGTTAGAGCGTTCGCTCATCACGCCGAAGACCCGGGTTCAATGTGAGAAGTCCATTTCTGGTGTCCCCCGCCGTTATACTGCAAGAATAAAGCTAAAAGCGGCGTAAAAACACACTCACTCACAATAAGTTCAATAATTTTCAACGCGACTCTAAACCCCCTTCAAACACAACCGTCATAAAGATTTGAATCAACTTTCAAAATAGTGATTGTTTACATACACTGCTTGTCAGTAAATAGAATACCCTTTCTATACAGCAATACATTTCAAATCTATACATCACAGATCGCATAAAATAACTCATATCAAAATATTCCGTAGAATATATCCGTAGTTAAATTCATATGTGAACGAAAACCCGAACTGAAGCAGGTCTTTGGTTAAACCCATACACAAGAGCATAAGAACAGTTCTGATAAACGTGGAAACACAACCAGGGCGAACGGGCATTCAGACCCACGATCACGTGTCCAAGGGGCGCAACCCTGCACAGCGAATTGTTGTCTTCCACGAGGGGAACCATTCGTGACCAACTCGTGTTATTCCGGGACAAGCCGAATAGCAACTCGTGCCCCTCTGGAAGGATTTCATATGGGCGCATGAACATCAGAACTACTTTAAACAAGAACGATAACTCTATCCCTGTTTGATTCCAGTGTTTCTTAATTATCACCGAAGCACATGTACATTGTGTTGCTAGGTTGTTGTTTTGGGGCTTTGTTTATTTATTTATTTTAAAGAATTAAACCTCTTTGATACAACTAAAAGAAGGAGAAAAACATATTTGTTAATGACATATTCTAATGTAATTATAACCAGCTGTTAACCTTATATTTCCAATTAGGGTTTTACTAATCACAAATGGGAATTGTTTTATTGAATATGCATGAGATATGCAAGTTTTTAAAATTCTTCTCAAACTGAACATTCGTGTAATCTTGCTGTCATACTCCTGGTGGAATTTTAAATGAATTTGCTGAAAAAAGTATGAATGACCAAAAAAATAGTCAGACTAAAATATCCCCAGAGATGTGAAATATAAGCCCAATGTTTGAGATTAAAGTTGATTAGTTACATACAAATACGATATTATTGTTTTGAAACTCGTAGCGATTTGTAATTATATTTCCTAAAATTGTTGGAAGCGCACGTACAATCTCCATAACAAGCCCGCAAGATCGTCAGAAATACACTCAGTTGGACCCATGAGAGCCGTTGTGTCAACAAACGCACGTGCGTGTATTTGAATCTCTCACCGTCAATCGCATGATTCTTATTAAAATCTTCATAACAGGCAGAAAAATCCTGTTAGCTACGTTCTTTGTACTTTCAATATGACGATATATATTTTTCATGATTTTTTAAACAATGACATAATGCCATAAACGATTAAAGTACTCGGGATTATTTTTACCAAAGCACCGCAGTGATTTACGCGCGTTCTGATTGGTTTGTCGTATTTTCGCACATAACAAGCATCGAGTGGGGGACGAGTCTTCTTGCAGGTTACGGAAAGGGGCGAGTGGTGACGAATGGAGGGGAACCTGTGCCTCTCACAGTGTAGAGTGTACTGTCCACTAACAAATTGTTAAGGCCGCATTCAGTTAACTGTGTTCACCAGTGTGAAATACGAGGGTTTGTGGTAAATTTAAGACCAAGTGTATAATTGTGGTTGCAAGTCTTTTCTACATCCTGATTTCATGGTTTGTTTATTGCTTATTGTATGCTACTCAAAATAAGATAAAGAACACTCATTTTTGCGAATGACTACGTCGTGCTATGGCAGATCAACTGTTGAGTGGTATATAATGTATATGCAATACTTAGTATACCTGTATATGTTATCTGTTGAGCAGGGAGGCGAGCCGAGTTTGACACGTGGGAGACGGTGGACGGGGAGACTTGTTGTATGAGATTGTTTGAACTGCGCATGTCAGCTCAGGTACTTATACTCAGTGTGAGTGAGTGAGTTTAGTTTTATGCCGCTTTTAGCGACATCACTCAGCAATATCACAGGGGGGACACCAGAAATGGGCTTCACACTTTGTGTCCATGTGGGGAACTCCAACCCGGGTGTTCGGCTTGACGAGCGGACGCTTTAACCACTAGGCTACCCCAACGCCCCACTTGTACTCAAAGCATGGGGCTTATGTTGTTCGTTGTTTAACGTCGCACTAAGCAATATTCCAGCTTTATAACGGCGGTCTGTATCTATCTGGACAAGGCAATCCAGTCATTAGCATCTATCTACGCAATTGGGATACGTTAGTATTTATCAACCAAGCCAGCGAGCCAGACCAAGTGATCCGGTTAGTCGCCTCTTACGACATGGGTTGTTGAAGCTCAAATATAACCCGGGACTTCAAGGGTAAAAGGATTCCTGCTTGTTTCTCCTGGGTTCAACCCCTCAGATTGATTGGATATGATGATAAATGTTTCCATGTGTCAACCAATAAAAAGTAATTGTTTTTATAAAAGAAAAATTTGCAAAGATTGTCGTGCATTTGACAGATTACTGAACGACAAAGATTGAAACATATCTCTGAATGTAGAAATCTTTATGTAGAATACATGTGTGTAAGGTTCTTTACGTTTTTTATTGTTTACAGTTGTCATACAATCATTGTCGTAGCTGAAATATCGCCCATAACACTGATTAATGCGCTAAGGTATTTGTGTGTTGTTTAACACCGCACCCAGTTTTCCAACTATATGATCGCGGTCTGTAAATAGAGGGGGCTGAACCAGACAATTCAGCGACATTGACAGCTGGGAAACGATGACAAGCGTGCTGACTACCCGATCCCGTTAATCGCCTCTTACGACAAGCATGGGTCATTAAAGAACAATTCTTTAGAGGGTTTATACATTAACGACACCATGAAAATGGTGCGATTTACTAGAACGTTTTCGGATGACTCGAGCGAGCAGGACGCACCGTGATGAACCTCGACGTATGTTTCAGGGAGATGACGACGAACAGATTGTGAGATCCTTGACGCAGAGCGCAGACGGCTTCATCCTCGTCTACTCCATCACCGACAAGCGGAGCTTCGACGCTGCATCACGAGTCCACGAAGCTATCCACAAGATCAGAAACAACAGCGACACACCGCTAGTGCTAGTTGGTAAGTGACAGAGTAGATGAGGCGAGTGTGACAGAGTGAGACAGCAGGTCCACTTGAAGCTCTCGTAAAATCTGGAACATCAGTACCGAAAAGCTGTATCGTCCTGGGAGCCCTCTTATCTTCACATGCAGGATCATCTTTGATGAACACAAATTGACACACAGCGACATCTATTGAGCAGTGTCACAAGGGGAGGTAACTCCCATATGTCTTCTCGGCTCGATTGCATCATCGGCAAGCCATGTTATGGAACCGTATTGAAACTAATTTAGCTTAGCCGTTGTCGTCCAGACAAAGTGTTGACCAAATTAATGTTAATATCACGGCTTCGATAACGACTGTTAACTGTAATGTTAACTATATGTGGCGGTTTATCATAAACGACATTTCTTCCCGATTTGGAAAGTAGGTAACCGATTGTAGTCGAGTCTGCACAAGATTCCAGTTTTAGCTCACCTCAATAAGGTGTTGTAAGACGTCATTGTTTGTACGTTTTTGTTGAAGCGTGGATGATTCCATGCAACACTATTGGTCCAAAAATCTTAGAAGATTCTACAGAAAAACACAGAAGGACTTCCTGTCACCAAACACAGAACCGAACGTTATGTCAAATAAACTCCCTGTTTACCAAAGAATGTTAAAGCCTTAATCACTCCCAAGTTTCGATATCCCATATTGGAACAATGCATGGAACTCACTTTGCTCGGAAAACTTTGCTCTGTGTACTGGGACAATGAATGTGCAAATATAATTTTTGTGTGATATTTTGGCAAACTGGCCATAAAAACATCATAATAAGTTGATCTGTGTAATTAGCATCAGTAATCAAACTCGATAATGGTGTTGTTCGGATTCGAATTACTTTGGACATATTTTGAGCTCGATTTTGAGCAAAAGGCTCCTGAAAACACGATTATTCGTTTTCGAGGTGTGTTTGTATAATTCTATTGAAATGCATGTTACAGTTTGAAGATGAGTCATGGCAACACGCCTGGTGTAACATACATATGTTGCAGGTAACAAGGGTGACGCATTCACGGAGCGAGAGGTCCTTGTGTCTGATGGTAGGGACATGGCGTTTGATATTGGAACGGCATTTTACGAGACTTCAACGAGAATGGACTTGGAGAAGGTGCGGAGTATATTTCACGATGTTATTAGACAAGTGAGGTGCGTTCGATCGCGATCTCGTTGCCAGGAACAAGCTTGCAATAAAGTGAGAGGATTTATTCACAGATTGAGCTTGCGATCAAAGCGGAAGTCACTCAAGAGACAATCGACAGGATGACGTCACTTGATGACGTCATTTGTGTGGACTTTGGTGTGAATGGATTACAATACTGGTATTTCCCTGATGTGATATGGAATGATGTTTCTGTTATTTGTATTCTGCTGAATATCGGTTATGAAGTTCAAAATGTATTGTGTAGTGAAAGCCATTAAATACTCACGTGAAGACATGCATATATTTGATAAGTGACAGGTTAGTCCTTAGTAATCGATGAAATAACGATCGAGACAAGGATGACTTCTGCCGATGACTGCTTTCTATTCTTAGAGAAGTTTTCCAATCACATATCAACCTACCGGGTACCCATATGCTGCTGGTTCAGTAGTACCGCATGTCAAACACATTAATGAGACTTTACAGATTGATTAAGTATTGTATTGTCATACAATTTGTGGAGTCTTACGGATATCATACTGACAAACCAAGAAACAATCGAACCCAACAATCAGCAGAGCAAATGGCGGCACCTCAGCCAGTGCGTCACGCAAGCTACACCTGTCTGGTGTTAACAGTATTTCAGTTTCAACACAAGTGTCAACTGTCAAGATAGTGCTGAAGGAAAGCCCAAGTGAGTTGGGTTTTACGCCGCTTTTAGCAGTATTCCAGCAATATCACGGCGTGGGACACCATAAATGGGCTTTATACGTTGTACCCATTTATGGAATCGAACTACGGCCTCCAGCGTGACGAGCGAACGCTTTAACCACTGGACTACCCCATCGCCCCGGGGGGGAAGCCCAAAGTGACAGAAGGCACGGGAACAAGGAACAGACAGACGTGTATCATACTTGCGACCACTGTAGGATCCGAACTAACGGCAGGCGACGTAACTAACAAGACCAATAAAATGGGTTAGTTGAGAAAATGCAAAGAGACATTTGCCACTGAAGCGGCGTCACTATCAGCAAGTCCGTTAAGGAGAAACCCTTTATTGCCAAATGATGTGCTCAGACCTTCACATTGGTGTTAAGATTTTACTTCACATCCCGTCTTCACACAAACTTCACAAAGACTGCAAGGGCCTCTGCTTTTCCATACTCTAAAAACACCAAAAAATATATTATTCGTCACATGATATTTACCAAAACACAATGTCAACGGTGCTAAAGTCTGGCATGTAGTTTGTGTCTGGATTTAATCCCAAGCCGAGGATCATAATGGACAATGGATCCTTTCACTGCAAAGGAGCGCAACTCTGTACAGAGTTATGGGCCCCTAATTTTTTACACTAATTCATCATCCCAAACGGTGTTCCACTAAAGTGAGTGAGTGAGTTTAGTATTATGCCGCTTTTAACAATATTCCAGCAATAATCACTGCGTGTGACACCAGAAATGGGCTTCACACATTGTACAAGTAGATTTCGTACAAAGCGTTGACGTCATCAATTACATGAGATCACAATGCTTTGACATCGTCAAATTACATGACTCACAATGCTATTACATCATACACTCGCTGACGTCACAATGTTATGACATCGCTTCTCTGCAAGTCTATTGGCAGTGTGCAGAGATGTACATTTTTCATTGGAAACAAATGAAGAGTGATTTTTTTATGATAAATAGAATCTCACCCTCGTGAGATATCAAATGTATGAACACTCGTTGATAAAAGTAAAAATACCTCAGATATTTGTAACTTTATCAACTCGTGCTGATATAATTGATATCAGCAGACACTTGGGTGAGATTCTCTATGTATTCTTAATGCTATGGAAACCGACAATATTATAATGTTAATTTGCATATTCAGAATGTACCAGATAACACCTAAAGCATGTTCAAAGCGCTATACATTTACAGCAGTCACTGGGTCTGTGTGTAATCGAGTTGTGTTCTCAGCTCCCTGGGATCATAAAAAAACAAGCTGCCTGTGAGGCGGGGAAGGTTAACATTCACATCCATCTCTTCCGCTATCTACCCATTTACTGCTGGGTGAAGAGTGAGAGAGTTGGTGAGGTTTTACGCCGCTTTTAGCAATATTCCAGCAATATCACGGCGGGGGACACCAGAAATGGGCTTCACACATTGTACCCATTGTACAGGGTCTTCGGCGTGACCACTTCATACCACTAGGCTACCCCACCGCTGCTTTTAGCAATATCATGTCGGGGACATCAGAAATGGGCTTCTCATATTAAACCCATGGTGGGAATCGAACACGGTTCTAGACTCATTTAAGCGAAGGCGACAGTGCTACTTGGGTACTGGACAGAAGCTCAATAAACTATCAACATGGCGAACACGGTCACCCGTCAAAGTTATCTACCCTACTTACCAACGTCATTGATTCGTGACCTGTACCACGTGACACGGCACCACAAGCGGCTGAAACTGGAATATTTTTACGATTGATGGAACAAACCTTTGTTTTGGAACTCTGTGCCCTCCGAACCTTTAGCATAGAGGAACTGGGGTTTGGGACTCTCCTTGTCAAAGTTGCAAACGTTGGCCACCATGTTTGTGACGATGAGCCAGCCGAAGTTGTTGCAGTTGTTGAAGACTCCCGACATCGAGATGTAGAACTTCCGGAACAACTGCCTGTTGGTGTAAGATGTGTATGAATGAATCACCTGGATTAATGTTTTCAGGTCAGTGTGTCCAACTGGTTTGGTTTGGTTTGGTTTAACGCCGCACTCAGCAATATTCCAGCTATATGGCGGCGGTCTGTAAATAATCCAGTCTGGACCAGACAATCCAGTGATCAACAGCATGAACATCGTTCTACACAATTGGGATACGATGACATAGTTTTCAGGGTGTATTTCGAACGACAGTTTGTCGTCGCACGACTGATTCCGCCAAAATCATCGTCTATCTATCTGTTCAGTTTGAGGTTTTGCCGTACAATCTCAATAAACATTCTAGAAAGTGCTGATAATTTGTTTTTTCTCAATTTCGAACTAATCTTCAAAGCGTTGACTAGACTGGAAGTCGCCAGTTTGAAACTTCTGCCGTAAAGTTTGAGAAAGCTGTGCTCTGACTGACTAAAGTCGACTTCATTTTGTTCATTTTATTGGTTGGTCTAAGTTGACGTAATGCGATATCCTCAGACCAAACATAAACCATCTCATGCGGAGGCAACTGATGTGAGGTCGTAACTGACGTCGTCTACATGCAGTCATAAAGTGTCTTTTTGCGTTGTGGTGCCTTGAACTTCCGGGTTATAAAAACAAAACATTGCTCCCGCCTGTTACACTACCTACCCTTGGATAGAGAAGAAGGTTGGCGAAAAGGTTGGTAGATCTACAGTGTAGGGATGCGTGCGTAGTCGGGCGTAGGAGAACCAGTCGTCCCTGCTACTGGCCACGCCGTCAAACGTCATGGACAACACCTCTGTACCGTTCTCGTACAGTCCCAGCTTCACCTAGTGACAGCAAGCATGTGTTGAAGTAAGGACAAGACACGACAGTATCCGTTATGCCATAAACTATAACACTGTTGACATTTGCTCAATGCTACATCCACACTTAACATATGCTACTTATAGTTTGGCATGAAATGCACGTGGACCCGCAAACAGATTCTTTAATACAAATGCATAAAATCGGTGATTTACAATGTGATTAGGTTGTCTGACAAAACATCCACTTGCACAGTTTGAGATCGATTGGGTCATTGGATGAAGAGATGCATTTCATGCCACATGCATTTCATGCCAAACTATAGGGACCGTTCATAATTTATGGCTAGGGGTGGGGTGTATTTAAGTTAACCAGATACACTGAGATCGCTTCTTTCTGGCAAACAATGTTATAACACTGATGATGTAACACACACACACACACACACACACACACACACACACACACACACACACACACACACACACACACACACACACACACACACACACACACACACACTAAAATGTATGTACAACTTAAGTCTCTCACACACACACACACACACACACACACACACACACACACTGTTTTCATATACAAAATCAATTACACCCCCTTCCCACAATAGTTTCATATTTTTATGTACATGTGTGCAAGATTGATGATCCCTCCTACCTCCCGGAAGAAAATGGGTGAGGTGACAACTGGAAAAAATATTACCCGCTGCCACGGTAACCGCCAAGCTCTCCACCGAGAAGCTGTAGCGCTAACAATCGTATGACGTCATAATATGACGCATGTCGTTCAGCTGCTTTTCTGTTCACTTTGTACATATTTATTTTACCCAGTTGCACTGCTTCATTTAAGCTATTTTATACATTGAGTGGTTTGAACACTCAGCTGAAACATAATTAACAATTTTTATAGCATTTTTATGCTTGTCAGAATATGTTTCACTGATGTTAAAAATCCAGTCGAGAGGCAGACGCCATTTTGTTTGCATGTCATATAGTCGGTAGCGATCTTTAACATGAAATAAAATGATATTTTGTACATTTAACATGGCGGTGTAAACATTGACACTTAGGTAATGGTATACACCACCTAACCATTGACACTTAACATATGGTAGACACCACCTAACCATTGACACTTAACATATGGTATACACCACCTAACCATTGACACTTAACATATGGTATACACTACCTAACCATTGACACTTAACATATGGTATACACCACCTAACCATTGACACTTAACATATGGTACCATTGACATACCACCACCTAACCATTGACACTTAACATATGGTATACACCACCTAACCATTGACACTTAACATATGGTATACACCACCTAACCATTGACACTTAACATATGGTATACACTACCTAACCATTGACACTTAACATATGGTATACACTACCTAACCATTGACACTTAGGATATGGTATACACTACCTAACCATTGACACTTAGGATATGGTATACACCACCTAACCATTGACACTTAGGATATGGTATACACTACCTAACCATTGACACTTAACATATGGTATACACTACCTAACCATTGACACTTAGGATATGGTATACACTACCTAACCATTGACACTTAACATATGGTAGACACTACCTAACCATTGACACTTAGGATATGGTATACACTACCTAACCATTGACACTTAGGATATGGTATACACCACCTAACCATTGACACTTAGGATATGGTATACACTACCTAACCATTGACACTTAGGATATGGTATGCACTACCTAACCATTGACACTTAGCATATAGTACACTACACCACCTAACCATTGACACTTAGGATATGGTATACACTACCTAACCATTGACACTTAGGATATGGTATACACTACCTAACCATTGACACTTAGGATATGGTATACACTACCTAACCATTGACACTTAGGATATGGTATACACTACCTAACCATTGACACTTAGGATATGGTATACACTACCTAACTATTGACACTTAGGATATGGTATACACTACCTAACCATTGACACTTAGGATATGGTATACACCACCTAACCATTGACACTTAGGATATGGTATACACTACCTAACCATTGACACTTAGGATATGGTATACACTACCTAACCATTGACACTAACCATTGACACTTAGGATATGGTATACACTACCTAACCATTGACACTTAGGATATGGTATACACTACCTAACCATTGACACTTAGGATATGGTATACACTACCTAACCATTGACACTTAGGATATGGTATACACACACCTAACCATTGACACTTGACACTTAGGATATGGTATACACTACCTAACCATTGACACTTAGGATATGGTATACACTACCTACACCCATTGACACTTAGGATATGGTATACACCACCATAACCATTGACACTTAGGATATGGTATACACCACCTAACCATTGACACTTAGGATATGGTATACACCACCTAACCATTGACACTTAGGATATGGTATACACTACCATTTGACACTTAGGATATGGTATACACTACCTAACCATTGACACTTAGGATATGGTATACACCATTGACTAATCCATTGACACTTAGGATATGGTATACACCACCTAACCATTGACACTTAGGATATGGTATACACCACCTAACCATTGACACTTAGGATATGGTAAACACCACCTAACCATTGACACTTAGGATATGGTATACACTACCTAACCATTGACACTTAACATATGGTATACACCACCTAACCATTGACACTTAGGATATGGTATACACCACCTAACCATTGACACTTAGGATATGGTATACACCACCTAACCATTGACACTTAGGATATGGTATACACTACCTAACCATTGACACTTAGGATATGGTATACACTACCTAACCATTGACACTTAGGATATGGTATACACCACCTAACCATTGACACTTAGCGTACGTTACTTAACACCACATAGACACGTAGCATATGATACTCAACACTATAATAATAAAAAGTCATCACAACTATTAATATTTTAAATCTTTAATGAGATAATTAGTTTAAAAGTGTAATTTGTTGAACGTCAGATGACCATAGATTTTATTTGATGATTTGCCAATACGCCTTTTACCAAGAAAAGTCAAAATCATTAACATATCATGCCAATAACTAACTGTGAAACGTTAAGAGATCGTGCGACAAAGGTGTTGTTCCAACTTCCAACATCAGTGTCCATTGCACATAGCCGTTCCTGACATTACAGACACAGTATGTCAACAAACGTTTAATTGAGAATGCACATCACATTTACACGTTTCACTGTATTTTTCGAGTGGGGGTAGCCTAGTGGTTAAAGCGTTCGCTTGTCATGCTGAAGACCCGGGTTCGATTCCCCACATGGACACAATGTGTGAAGCCCATTTCTGGTGTCCCCACCGTGATATTGCTGGAATATTGCGTAAAACCATATTCACTCACTCACTCACCCAATTACTCTGAGTGTGAATCGATGGCGCTTTTAAAGTTTAAAAGATTTGGATTACTAGAAATTGTGCCATTTAATGGCGACATATAAGGTTTAGACCAATGATGAAAAGAAGGACATTTTTTTCACACTGGCATAAAATTCTAACTTCATGGTGACATTTATATTAACGAACTCTCAGTGTGAAAATCCTAATACATTTACAAAGAAATACTTTCACCTGATCATTTGGACATATAATGCCAAGACGTTCGATGAAAATATCTCAGATTAGTTCAACGTAACGCTAAACAATATTACCGCATCGCAGGGCTGTAACTTTCCGGATCCGGTAAACAACGCTCTGATTGGTCACTATCGGCACGCGACATGAAATGAGATATCTCCAGATTCTTGTTTAGTGGTAGCGAGAACCAAGATCTGATTTTGATGAGACTGCATTATCAAATACATTTGGTTGAACGTTATAAATGTCAGTCTGTTAGAATCCTTAGTTTCAATTATCATTATTTGGTGAGCTAGTTTTCTATGTTACTGCGATAGTTGCCCCAAGTCGTGCAGTCTCCATTTGGAAAACAAATAACAAAGACTTGTCATAAATCTATCCACATACGATGAAAATATGAAACCAAAATGGTAATGCTGTTTAATATTTCCATCACGGAAACCGAGAAGCTGACTGAAAGGATGGTTTAACAATTTGTGAAACGACACTGGTCTATACACAATAGGTTGTCCCTTTGAAGTCTGAGTTGTGAAGGTGGTCGGAAATCATGCAATCGTTAGGCGATGAAAAGATGGATTATACTTAAATACAGAGTGAGTTAGTGAGTATGGTTTTACGCCCTTTCTAGCAATGTTCCAACAATATCACGACGGGGGACACCGGAAATGGGCTTCACACATTGCACCCATGCGGGGAATCGAACCCGGGTCTTCGGCGTGACGAGCAAACGCTTTAACCACTAGGCTACCCCACCGCCCCCTGAAATTACAGAACGTCAGGGTGTAACAGGTACTCTTCGCGTCTTTTAATATGGCACAGCTCGTATCAAGGCACCGAAAGTTCGCTCTCGAGGCAGACCTTCTCTCCTCTGGGCCACTTAAGGGTCTGCACTCTACGCAAGTCTTGATCTGAATATTTTAAATATAAAAAGTTATTAAAATTTAAAAAACAGGACATGAAACGAAAAAGCATGTTCATTCAACCCCAACGTAATAGGACAACCATTCTACGTGACATCTCACCTTGACGGAATAAGCCGAGTGAGACCGATTGTAAAATTGATAAGCACAATCATACTAATCGATAAAACCGATTATACTCCAACATATGTCTAAAAAACAACGTGTGTTAATAGCCTGCTCATTTTTCACGATACATTGACATTTCGGTTATTCAAACTGACTCTGCAGCTGTTTGTTTCACACAATTAGTTTTACGACTAGTATAATTTCCTAAACTCTTTGATACATATCTTTCTTCCCGGAGTTCGGCAGTAAACCAAGTCATGTGATTATAGGCGATAAAACATTATTGTGAAATGGTTGTCAAAATCACGCGACTTTGATTTTGGGGCATTTGATAAACGTTTTTGATTGATTTAAGACAATTTAGCCACAGGGGCATTGCACTGACGACATTGGTCATAACAGCTATTACATGGCGTTCTTTTGTCACGGGGGATATGTCCTGGGGTGCGGAGCCCAGTCAACGAAGCGTTTCATCTTGTTTCATGTTAAACCTATCATTACATGCATCGAGTGACCTAGTCTGCTGCGCGATGTTCTATATTTGTCAAAAATGATCGCTCATTACAATGGCAAGTCGTTAATAGCTCATTACAATGTAATTTCCTAATGGAGACAAGCTCAAACAAACAATTAGCATATTATAAATTGGTCGACAAACACGTTTTAGGGGTGTGCCAGTCAGAGGTCATGACTCCTTTTAAGTTTAAGAGGGATAAAAAAAAATGATTCGGGGGTTCAGTGGGGAGGTGCTGATGAGGTTGACGGACCCAACAAAGATTTATTCTTAGAAACGGGGCGATGGATGAATCTAGTGGTTAAAGAGTTCGCTCGTCACTCCGCAAACCGATACATGAGTCTCATAAACCAATTTAGACAAGGAACTAATTTTCAGCCGATCCGAATTTTCTCGTGTGAAAGTGAAAAGAGACACTACAAACAACTATGGTTACACGAAATTCCAATTCCTTGTTTCATAAGAAAATGGTATTTACAAGTTAATTTTAATTTTAAACTGATACAAAATCGTATTTCTATATTTTATGACGAGGTTTAGGCAGCATGACCTTAATTAAGACGTCACAGACTGCCCCTGTTTGAAAAGTCGTAAAATAATTCACAATTCATCTGGGTGACTGGTTACACCTGTTAAGTGTTATTTGCGCTTATTAAGTGTATTTTTGTAATGTACAATGTCATTGGATATAATATCAAGGTCGTACAAGACCGCCAAACTTTTCTAGCGGCCGAGCCTCGATTTGAGATTTCCACGCCATTTGTCAGAGCAGGCTGTGCGATAGAGCACGCTGCACGACGAGTTTGCAAGTATTAGAAGATGTGTGTTTGAAGCAATTTGAACCCCTTGTGTCCACACATGTGCAGTGAATGGACTGAGTTAATGCTGACAATGACAACAATACATATGTTCATCCATGTGTCGAATTTCCTTTATTTATGTTCAAGCTTAATCGACTTATGTACACTTAAATGCGTTTAATAAATTTGCTTATTGTTGACCTCTGCGGTTTTTTTCATCTTTTCTTTTGTGAAGTGTTTCTTTTGTCGGCAAAGATTATCAATACTGGATTTGTATTGTATATGCGACTATGCCCTGATGTTTTTTTTATGTTATTATTATTATTGGATATTTATATAGCGCACATATCCAGGCATTAGTGCATGCTCAAGGCGTTGGTATTTGTTCCCTCGATCATTGGATGTCCATCTCAACTTCCTGGGTATCACACAACTCTTGTAGCCACTAGTCGCACCAAGTTAATGTGACTTTCTCATCCTAACGAGGTACCCATTCACAGCTAGGTGGACTGGGACACAGTCACAGTACTTTGTACAAGTTCACTGCACGTTACTGTATCCGCAACTAGGTGTTTGCACGTATTCATGTGGCCACCATCTGGTCATATACCAACGGATTCGTGGGTTCTGGGTTGTGTACTGTACACAACACTGAAAGAGACTGCACACAGAGTTGACTCCTAGGTTTTTACACCCGGTCACAGGTGGGCTCGATCCCAGCACCTCATGCTCGCTGGATCACTAGCCAGGCGCCCTAGCCAGCTCGCCCACCACGCACGGTTTGGTGTATTTCCATTCACATAAATTTGCAAGTTCTATGATTCTTTATGAAATTGTTATCAAAACTTATGGGTCTGTAAAGTTCGCACAGGAGCATAAAGTTATGACTAAGTACGCAAGATCACACGGGAACAAGCTGCACAACAGCTTACAAGCTGACAAGTAAAAGTGTCATATAGCTGGTATAACAACACATACGTGGTGTCAGGCCGCAACGCAACCGAACAGAACAGGACAGAACCCAACCGCAACCAAACCAAACCAAACCTAAATTTATCGGACCGCAACGCAACGCAACCGAACAGAATCCAACCGCAACCAAACCAAACCAAACCAAACCCAACGTAAATTTAAAGCCAACGCAACGCAACGCAAACGCAACGCAACGCAACGCAAACCGACCGCAACCGCGTTACATGGTATATCATGCCGCACCGCATTGTGGAATCACGTCGCATGTATCCCACCACACAAACTCGCGCCACAAATGACATCATATGTTACCGTTAAAGACCGGATGAAAAACAAGCGGTAAAGTAGAAGTGAATAAAATGGTGACGGTTGATTTTCATAAAAGCTGCCTGTCAGTCGAAACCGGTTAATGACCATGACAAAAGCACTGAATGTGGGAACTCTATTCGAGGCATCAAACAATATAGAATATGAGAACACTAAAAATAAAATAGTCTGAAAGCATTATGCAATAAACTGTAACAATTATATATGAATGCCTCTATTACCTGAAAATTAACTTAAGAGCGTAAACTCATTAGGGTAATTGTTATATCTGAACTAGAAGTAGTTCATTTGCTGACATCGATTTCCAGCCTGGTAAAAATGCTCCTAAGACGTAATTTATAATGTTGTAAAATATCCTAAATGTTAGAAATACAAAATAATTTTGCAATTAAATGATCACACATAACATTGGGCCTCAAACATAACTCTACACACCACTCATTGAATGTCGCGTTGTGTTCGATTTCACATAAACGGTTACATGTCAGATGTATTAAACGGCGTAATTGGCTGTGAAAGTATTTCATCAATCATGCGATCAGGCAGACTCGTGTTCATGAATTATACACATCGGGAAAGAAACGTAACACTTGCACACTGCACTGCGTTATTCTGCCATGTAACCTGTATTTACAACCGACATCAGACAATACACATACATCATACACTCTCTTTTTGTGTCCATGAAATATAAAAACTCACTTTGGCTGAAATACATTTTGATCCAGATAGTGGGCTTTCCAGCTGGTTGTTAGGTTATGCACCATAACATGAAACACACACACGTGCTACACGGACGTCAGAAACACGCGCACGTGCTACACACACGCTACACGGACGTCAGAAACACACGCACGTGCTACACGGACGTCAGAAACACACGCACGTGCTACACGGACGTCAGAAACACACGCACGTGCTACACGGACGTCAGAAACACACGCACGTGCTACACGGACGTCAGAAACACACGTACGTGCTACACGGACGTCAGAAACACACGCACAGAAACACACGCACGTGCTACACGGACGTCAGAAACACACACACGTGCTACACGGACGTCAGAAACACACACACGTGCTACACGGACGTCAGACACACACACACACACGTGCTACACGGACGTCAGAAACACTACACAGACAACAAATAGACACAAGCGCGCACAACGAAGACATCAAAGCTACTGTCCAGACACCAGACACACTTCACAGATTTCATACACACAGACACAGTAGACACGATACTGGCACAATGCCAACTACTCAGACATCAGACACGCAGACACATTACACAGACAACAAACACATAACACAAACGATCATCGACATGAGTGAAACAGCGGATTTGTAAAAAAAATTGAAAGTTATAGGAAAGCCTCAAGACGCCCAAAAGTGACGCTTGTCTTTTACCTACCTGTACCAAACTTTTATTCCAACCAGTTATCTCAACCTCAATAGATATTGTGACATTAAATATCATTACACTCCCAACCGAAAGGAAATATTAACACAGACATATTAGTCTCTATGAAAGGAAACAGACAAGAAACGGTTGGGTAGTCCGTGGTTTATCTGTGCGTGTGCGTGAGTTTCCAATCTACTGAATTTTCATTCCAATCGCCCTGATTTTCAGTGTGAATTGAAATAACATAAATAAATTGATAAATCTGCCTCGATGTGACACGAAAATACCCCCACCACTGCATACTCTTCAGAACTCTTCCCATCTTTCTTCAGCTATGTGTTTTCGTTTCAAAAGCAAAGTAACCCAATCTCGTAATAAAATTAATTAATTTCAACACTAGTACCAAATAGTGAAAAAGGCGCTTGCGCAGCGCATCTTAGAAATTCTACCAGTCTATCTAAGAGCTCAGTACACTGATCAAATAAATGCGACAGAATCCTTTCCACAGCCTCAAGAAATCCAAATTAAAGCAAAGTCCACTGTACGACCCCGAGTGCATCATGAACATGTGTTTATGAATCGCTATTAAACTTTAATAGTGATGATACAGAAAAAGTGAGAGTACCCTCCCCTACCCCACGCACCAGTTTAAAATAATAGCCTCTGTTATAGTTCCCTATTTGACGCGTACCATATGTTGAGGAGAACAATTGCCTTGCCTTTACATGTGTTTGTGACGATGGTGAGCCACCGTTTCGCAAATATCTTGCATCCAAACCATATGGAACGTGTTTCATAGACAAAGGCTCATAATCTAATCAGAATCGATGGCGAGTGTTCTCTTTTCATTTTTAACAATTTGTTTCGTATGAAGTTCCCTTGCTGTTTGAGCTTGGAGTTCAGAACCACAAAAATGTCGATGGCCACATTCGATGGTGATGTATTTCAGTGGGTATCAGGAATTTAGTGGTGCTTTGCCCTTATGTGTGTAGTGTTTCGGCGAATGTTTTCTGTTTAGGAACGTTGTTATTTGTACACTTTTGGTCAAATCAAAATGTATACTATTTTCTACCAGGCAGTAGTTTTACCATGTTCAGGTACATATCCTCTTACCTCTTTGATCCCTGCCGTCGACCAATCATCCAACCAGTGAGACCGATAGAAAGGGTAGCTTGAGGATGCGGCATACTTCGAGAAGGAAGCAGGGTTCTGATTGGTCAGCTCCAGGTCATGTGCCACCCCAGGCTGTGACCAGGACTCTATGAAGTTTATACCAGACCCACTGACCGCCTTGAAGACCAGCGTCCACTCGTTGCTGCTGACTGTAAGAAAAGACGCAAGAAAATATAACCGTGAGCAACGATGTAGGCTCCATGGTCCTTATGCGACAAGCCGTTTAGTACCAGGTTACCCTTTGAGAACTTCCTCGGAGGATCCTAAAGTCAATATGAGATGCACCAGGACGCCAGTGTAGGAATGTATAAATAGGAGTTATGTCATCTGACTTGCATTCAGTTTATTTCAAAGCTCATAGTCATGGATCTAAGAATATCAGTTGGTGTCACAGGAAAAATCATTCTCTTCCCACAGAGGTTACTCCTGTCATATCTTCCTACGTAGCCTCTAGACAGAACTCAGTCATGTTATGGCGGATCAGTGGCGTCTCCATCGCCCTCGTTGACAACGGACAAGCTAGCCATTAAACGTCTTGTGTGTAATATCAACACAAGTCCCCGGCAGATGGGGGATATTTGTGGCCCCACATTTGCTTGTGTTAGTCAAGTTGAATCTAAGTCGATGTAACACGTGTTCTGATTGGATAGAAAGAAGGGAGATAATTCGTGTTGCGATCTTTTGCCGCTAGGGGGATTTTACGAGAACCGGGAAATATGGCCGTATTAGAACAGAGGTTCGTAGGAAGATATGACAAGTAGCCTCTGTGGGAAGAGAATGGGGAAAAATAGTCTTAAAGGACAAGAACCCGTTGTTCCAACTGTCAGGTACACTTACTGTTGGGTGGCCGCGACCGAACCGAACGCTGTTTATCCAGGCCGTTGGTGACACGAATTTTAGTAAGCAATATAAGACTTTGGCTTGAATCATGTTTTCCTGTTCTCTCCTTACTCTTACGAGCGACGGGCTACAATTGGAGAATACAATGGACAAACATAGCCGAAATGTACCCAATGTCTGATTTACAGGTGTTTGAAATTTATTTTTGAGGGCCAGGAATCGTGAACAGATCTCAAAACCACAGCCAACAAGTTTGTGAAACGAGTGTGGATCTCTTGAAGACAGCCGAGGTCGCGGGGTCATGTACAAGTAGTCCCGGAAGAGAAATAGTTCCCTCTTTAGCAAACTGTAGCACCGTTGTTCTTAGGTTTATAGCCAAAACAGTTAGTGTTCTGGAATCAGTAGAACCTCTGCTATCAGACGAAGACGCCTACAGGTTACATAGATTTTAGTAAGTGTTTTCAGTATTTTCATGCTTAATTTCCTTTTGAATAAATCTTGAAGAAGTCTTTGAAAATGTTTGGCGAGAACTTTGGCCCAGAATTAGGACTCAATATGGCGGCCATCGAAGGCACATGTCGGCACTGTTTGTGCTCAATGTGCAGAGTAGTTCCTGGACACAAAGTATGGACATTGTGGAAGCTCTGGAGCTGATGGTTCGAGCAAAGCACATTTTGGAAGACAGGTACTCAGAAAACTCGTGACAAAAACGACCAAAAACTTCAATCCAATATGGCTGCCAAACGGTGCCATTTGGCCACATGAGTCATAAACCATCGCCGCGTAAACCCAGTTCATTCATTCATTCATTCATTCATTCTCAATCACTCTTAGAAAACCGACAACCATGATGTGTTTCACCCTTTGAACTCGATGTATCCAGTGGTAGTACCCTCAGACAGTGGTAGACTATCGTGAGCGAAAACTAGTTGCAATGAGTTCAGTGGCTGAATTAGCATTCGTGATTTCCCGGTAACATTGTTTGATGCTCATACCATCATCCTCTAGTTTGTCTCGGCATAGCTCGTGGATTTTAAAGCTAACCCTAATATAATGTACGTTTTTGTTGAAATACCCTTCCCATTTTCATTCCACATAGTTTGAGCTAAACCAAAACTGGTTCAGCGAATATCATGAAAACAGTATTACTACATGTAAGCTGGTAAGTAGTTTCATATTCATCGTTGTTCAGTATGGACAAATAAAACGCTTCAAATTCACTTAAGTGGGCCCCAAAGCGTATTAGATATATAGAGACGTATTACCGAGGCAACAAGGAACAAGAGACCAGAAAGTTGACAGCGTCTACTAGGGGTTGTCAGTATCCTGTTGCTTTACTAGCCATACAATGGCCGTACACAAGGAAAGAAGGGACAATGATGCATGCATAGTATTGTTAAATTAAAGAACTACAGGATACTGCAAAGTCGATTCGGTGAAATATATATGACTAAATGTGAGGTGAGGTGAAATTGGGTTTTTACGTCGTGCTTGAGAATATTTCGCTCATATGACAACGTGCATGCGTGTGTATGTGTATGTGCGGCTGCTTGTACTAGCCCAGACTTAAGCTGGTTGTATAGTGCTAGCTCACTGAGATACCATGCCGCAGTGAAGCATGAATACCCCACTCAGACAAAGTATACTGACTCCGAGCCGACCAGTCCTTGTTGTACCCATTAATGCCGAGAGCCAACGTCTTTTGGTATGACGCGGTCGGGGATCGAACCCGCGACCTTCCGCTCTCCGGGCGGACGCTCTAACCACTACACCACGGAGGCGGTCTATGACTAAAGGCGTGTTTTATTATTTTCATGGGGGCGGTGGGGTAGCCTAATGGTTAAAGCGTTCGCTCGTCACGCCGAAGACCCGGGTCACAAAGAAAAATCACTCACTATTATTTTCATGGGCTCAGATGGAGTATATTTCCGAAATAAGAATAAAGCCATGTAGCTTCGTAAATGTTGCATCGTAGCAATAAAATGTGTGATTTATATATATTTGAAAATATGTTCGTGAAACAATGAATTGCTCATTTGAGTGTTCATAAGAGATAATCACATGATATGAATAGGTTGAAAAGTAGTCACGGGCAAGGATACAATCACGTACATGTCAATCATCCAAATAACATTTTAAAACCTTTTACAATGGAGTCAACTTTCTTTGAGCAAGGTTTCATAACTTGCCATCTTCGCGATGTTTCTGCTTCTTCAGTCATGACATCTGGCGGGCAGTCGCTAGGCAACCAGCCATGTTCCCTTATTCAAATGATCTATAAATAATATAAAAAATCTCTAAAAAGGGTAAAGACTGAAAATGAGATAATAATGCATCTATTGTATGATTTTTATGAATTCTTTATTTAATAGTTTTATAGGGAATAAGTCAGTAATACATATTTCAGCTCTACGACGACATGAAAATCTGTATGGTTGGTTGGTTGGTTTTTTCACGCCACACTCTGGGCCAGACAATCCAGTGATCAACAGCATGAGCATCGATCTACGCAATTGGGATACGATGGCATGTGTCAACCAAGTCAGCAATCAAGCCTGACCACCCGATCCCGTTGTCTTACGACAAGCATGGGATGCTGAAGACCAATTCTAACCCGGATTTTCATGGGAGAAAACTGTATGATGGTATTGTGTTGAACAAAAGATTGTTACTTAGGGTCACCATTTTGACATCTCAGACATCCACTCGAAACTTCTTTGAGTGGCATTTTAGAAGTTGGAAGGTACAATACAGACAAACTTCTGTATTTCGTGAGTGCGACGTTTCAGTACAGGTTCTTGTATCGTTGTCAAGCAGGCATTACAACGGTACAAGAATCTGTACCGAAACGTCGCTTTCACGGAATAAAAAAGTTGTTATGCATTAAGTTTGTCTATATTAAACCCTTTCAAAAGCTGCTTTCAAAAGTTTCAAAAGTTTCAAAAGAATACTTTCCATGCCGTAGTAAAGTTTATATGTGGAAGATATTTTCAATTTGTCGCATCAGTGAAGTGAAAGTAGTGACTTGCTTCAAGCATATGTATTCAGGTTCCTACGTTGACTTATACCAAAAGTTCTCGTATTTTTGTGAATTTTTTAAGATGAATAATTCCAAAGAATTGCGTGGCTCTTAGCTACATCAACGAGAATATCAACAGTCACGATTCATTTACCGGACTCCTGTGAAGATTCAACTGAGTTGTGTCGACATGGCTGTCTGCACGTAATAAGAATCACGAACGATGTATAATATATTAATGCCTGTATTTGTCTTCGAATCAGGTGTTTATCTTTCAATACATATCCATGACCGGCACCCTTTTGTTCCTGACATTGATAACAAGGTATTCCACTGATCAACCCCTGTTATTATATATGATGTATTACAGCAGGACAAAGGATCCGCCAGGAGTGTTCCCGCTAATGGGGAGCTTAAGTAAAACAAATACAAAATTGATATTGATCGCGCATCTGATCATGAAGTGTAAAGTTAAATCCTCTCAAATGCTTTTCTGAGCTTAATAAACAAAACCCCTGTAAAACCCTGGACTAATCAAGCTGAAACTTAAAATACTCGTCCCACCATGAATGATGATGGAAAACAATACATATAAAAAATAATTAAAAAATGTAAAAAATCAGTGATGCTTGAATTTGTAACTGTCTCATACACATAAATAGACCCTTTAAGCGGCCTTCACACGGCAAACTAAAGTTTGACAACACATGTAGATAAAATTTTAAAAGTTGTCAACTCACGTTTTCACACGTATAACCAGGGATACTCTACAACAGGGATAGGTCACTCGCTTGCTTTCTTTACCATTTGTACTAATTAACATGTGCCTCGTCATGCTCCAACGCACACAGTGACTTGGTTCGTTCCCAGCGCAACTTCGGCTGCGCTCCAACGCACACAGTGACTTGGTTCATTCCCAGCGCAACTTCGGCTGCGTTTAACAGTACTTCAGTCAGTGTATTGTATCAGTCGGAATTTTACAATGAATGAATAAATGAATTAAGAGCAAGAATTATATGTGAATTAATGAAAGAAATAAAGAAAAAGAACAAAAGAAAAAGAACATATGTGAATGAATGAAAGAATAAATGATACACCACGGCCATCCCTCCCCAAACATGTTAAAGAAATGCAAAACTATCGGTAGAACACATGTGTTAACATCAGCTGTCCTTTTTAAAAAAAAATCTACTTTGAGAATTTTTTTTACATTAGTAACTAATTCAGATATCTTATTGCATGTGTGGAATGGCATGGACATTGACAGAATGTTAACTGACACTGTCACAGACCCCTCAAAAAACAGAAAGTTTAGCACCATCACAAAGCGTTGTAAACACCTTTCCAGTTTTGTCACATACTAAGATCAGGGATACTCTACAACCTTATATAGTCTCCCTGCTAAGATCAACAAGAAAGAAAGAAGTTTTAGAACTATAACACTCAAGCATCACAAGCATCAATGGCGTATCAGAACAGATCGGCGATATGTCATATTTTTCACACATCTCAAATACACCCTAACAAATTTTTTAAATTATAAAACTATCACTATTACTTGCAAACACCCTTCACCTGATGGTATATTCCCCTCATAAAAATTGAAGGTGTATGTGAAAGATGTTTTAGAACAATAACTAGAAACACTCAAACAACGCCCTGTAGTATTTCAATGGCAGATCGGCGATATGTCATATTTTTCACACACCTCAAAAACACCCTCACACATTTTTTAAAATTATAAAAATATCACTATTATTTGCAAACACCTTTCACCTGATGGTATATTCCCCTCATAAAAATTAAAGGTGTATGTGAAAGATGTACTGAGAATTGAAGCCAGTGAGCTACAACATGCCGACTTGAAACTTTACTACAAATCTACTGTACTAATACTGACACTAATAACAATTATTTGACTTAAAATGAAGTGACAGAATAGGTAACTTATCTTCTACATGTAGGTTTTCAGTTGTCACAACACTCCGCGTATGCAATCAGCTGTTGAAAATAAACCGGGCTTAATCTTAAAAACTACGCTGCCGCCATATTGGCTACACTGGTCACGTGACGAGCCGAGGCATACGCTAAGGGGCTTTCCGAGGAGTGACCACTCCCCCTTATATATCTCCCTGGTATAACACATGATGTCAAACTTTCGTGTCATGCGCCATGCCTCTATCGGTGCGGTCACGTGACAATTTCGTTGACTGCGATTGGTTGTTTCTGAACACCACGAGTTTGACAACACGTCACACGTCAAACTCGAGTTTGACAATACCGAAGGTTTGATGGAAAAGTTGGTGAGAATAGAGACCGATTCTATTTCTTGAGAACTGTTTGACAACTCTGAAATTGGTGTTGGTGGCGAGTTGTTGGAATGTTCACACTCTCAAACTCGAGTTAGACAACGTGTTGTCAAGCTTTAGTTTGCCGTGTGAAGGCCGCTTTAGAAACAACCAATCCCAGTCAAACGAAATTGTCACGTGACCGCATCGATAGAGGCATGGCGCTCAAATGACAACATGTGTTTGACGTGTGAAAAAGCGAGTTTGACGTGTGAAAAAGCGAGTTTGACAAATTTTAAAATTTCAACAACATGTGTTGTCAAACATTAGTTTGTCGTGTGAAAGCCGGTTTACGCACCATTACGTATCGAACTACAGTCGAGCACCGTTGCCTCGATATTCATGGGACCAAGAAAAAATATCGAGTTATCCGAATTTCGAGACATCCAACCAGGGCATATCATCACATATCACTATTAAAGAAAACAAAACAAAAGTTCTCAGCATGTACTTTTTACTCTGCACAGCATGATCACATAAACACGGGAAAGTCTACTTTGAGAAGACAAAGGACGTTCCATGTTCAGTAAGTGAGCATTGCAATATTGTATTGTATAAATATATTAAGAAATATTTCAGTAACTTCCCCACAATGAGAAATTTTATATCTATTCTACAGAATGAAAATATGGATATGATAAGAAATGTATGTTTATTCTTATATCATGTAAACAAGAAACACAAACTGCTAATACCGTAAGTATGCGCTGATGTGTTACATATTTTCATGATTGTATTATGAGCCGGAGGTCTGTTACTGAATAAAATGTCTGTCTGTCTGTCAATATTGTATTTAGAGTATGGAAACTCACAAAATGGCTTTCGCACATTGAACCCATGTTAGGAATCGAACCGGGGTGTCCGGGAGCCTTAACCACTAAGCTAGCAGACCGACCCCATTTCACTGAGCCTCCCCATTCCACGTGTGCTGTCTCTACAATCAGAATCAGATCCATCCATCACGCCGTTAAGCCAAAATTGTTGACATGTCCGGGTGATAATTAAACGAATTAGGATCGGGTCTAATTTCCGGGTTTGATCGTTCACTTAAATTATATTTATAAGTCTTTTAAACAAAGTGAAACCATGACAAAATAATACGCTGCATGTTCACACACGTCAGGTTTCAATGAACCATCATTGCATTGCTATATTATCGGTCTGGTAATTGGCAATAAAATGCTCGTAATGTCTTTATGCAAGTTGCATACAGATCCTGAACTTCCTGTCATTAATAACCAATAAATAATGGATCAAACTCAAACAGACAGTTTTACTGAACAGTCTAACATCCAACTTTCAGTAAGAATTGGCCTGTACACTCAAGAAATGTCATGACGGGAATTCAGTCCAAAGCCAGGTCACACTGCTTTTATATAGAATGGACATGGAGTAAAACGATACCGAACTTACATCCGAAAACCTACATTTTTCTTTATACATCTACCCAGTACAGTATTCGTGAATTAACTCATTAATAACTATTCGTTCGAATTCAAAACCAGATCTCACCATTCATTTAGAAATGGTTCAAAATAGTCACTGCCTGAGTTGGGTCGCCATGTTGAACAGTAGCCCGGTTACATCAAAAAGTGTCAGCCCGACACGAGGACGAAATGATGCAGGCCTCATAGTTTTGAAAAAAGATTATGCAATGAAATGTCTTAATGATAAGAACTTCCACACACTGATCACTGTATAGTCATAGCAAATTGGTATGTTGGAAGCACATGCAATAAGAAGTTACCACACATAAACTGAAAAGAATTTTATTAAAATGAGACGCGTTGCTATTTCCCCCAATAAATCCCTCTTTTTCACATATTGAAACAAAGCGACAATATTCAGGGCCTACATTTTCGAAGCTTTCTTTGTGCTAAGATAGTCGTAAGTTAACGTTAATGTATGGCACTTACGACTATCTTAGCACTAAGAGAGCTTCGAAAATCTAGGCCCAGGTCATTTCCCCTGTAGTACGCATGTTACGATAACGCCAGAAATTACCCAGTCTCGATTATCTAACCTAAAATATTCCATGTCGTAAAGGGTAATATAGCGGTGAAAAATATAGGACTGGATTGCTGAAAACCGTACAATGTCATTTATATTACCCCAAAGACTGTACGACTTACGTTCGTTTCAGACTGCGCTGCTACTCTTACGTAAATGGCGTAACAGGGCAGGAAATATGAAACCATCAATCTTTTAAGTGGTAACAATTAATTAATTTTTTGTAAAGACTTAAGTGCTACTTTTTTAACCTTCACCAAGGCCTCGTTCCACAAAGCAATATAACTACAACCGTCGTAACTCCCATACTTAAACATAGACTTACGACAGTCGTGGCGCTACGATTACTTTGTGAAACGGGCACCTTTCGATCGTAGCGGTACGTCTGACGTTAACGTCGGGGACGTCTGATGGAACACAGAATAGATAGAATAGATGAAGTTGTTATTTAGTTGTTTCAGTTATATCAGTGGATATTAAATGCTTGACAAGGATGAGTTTCAAAGACAAGGGACCTGGCTTCATTGGGTCAGTGAGTGAGTGAAGTTCCCTGTTATTAAACGGTGTGACAGCTTGATGTAGGAAAGCCTAGATTGGTGCAAGTCTAAGACGTTTACCATTTTGGTTGATTCCAAGAGAACGGGCGTGGTGCTGACAAATTCAGAAGCATAATTGGGGTGTACATGGAACCATCGCTCTATAAGTCGTCGAAATTGATACAATTTTTTTCTGATAAAATAGATCACACATCCTTAATTCGTTTACAGTCGTTTTTTTACACATAAATAAGAAATATCATGACACAATTATTGAAATATACGGATGACTCAACTTCAATTTAAAGTAGGCGTATCCAGACGCATGGAATTAGTTTCACGAATTGTAATATGGAGAACTAAGAAATAATTTGAAATACGGTTTACCTTCTTTGGCAACGGGTCCATAATAGGCCCAGGACAGGTTCTCCTCAAACTTTGCGTCAAAGGTGTACAGCTCCCCTGGATTCAGAACACAGGAACCATCCGCTGGCTTGTAGTTGAAGCTCGCGCATGTCGAGTTCTCTTGACTACAAAGAACTGCACATTCAGATCGCGAAAGGGAACAATCACTCCGGGAACATTCCGAGTTCGAACCCCCCGAGTTGATGAGGCGGTACCCCTCCTTCCCTCTGTAGAACTCCCCGTGCGCAACGTTCAACGCCAGTCCTATTGAAAACAACAGGAGGAACATTGCAAGGGCGCAGCACCAAAGGGCAACCGCTCCAGAAGAACACAGGGCGTTTGTAACGGATGATAAAGTTTAATGACCCGCTTTGAAGTCACGGTAGTGGTACGATGTTCTTCACATGAACACAGGGTTATACACCACAGCACTGGTTAAGCAGTCATTCCTGGATTGGTCCGTCGACCGTGAAATTCTTATGTTTCTACATTAAACATACCAGCATGGGTTTGTTGTCACAACAGTGGAATGGAACAGAGTTGAATGCAGCGGACCCAAGCAAATTACCGGCGTTTGCATGTCAGTCGTTTGACAGAGAGCTCCGGTTTTAAAGCGGTTGGAAGGCAAATCTCAGAGAAATTATCCATTTAACTGTCCTCGTTGCATGGCGCGTTATCCCAGCGTATATAGATTAATACCGCGTTATGGCACCGTCCACCATTTTGTCTCACGACATTTCATTCCAATGTGACACTATACTACTCATGCAAAACGCAAACGGGCTTAGATTGTTTCACTAACCCCCTTCCGTAACGATCCACTTAACTTAAGAAAAAAATAGACAATTTCCATGGGGGAGAAAACGGTTCGTTGAAATACCCGGACATTTGACGTTTCGTTGACAATCAAACCAGTCGCTCTTACGCTGGTTAGTAAATTACTGGAAAACGGCAATGCTATAAACGCCACTGAAAATGGCCTTATTTTGTATAGATAATTATCACTTGTCATGGCTTATTGTAACGTTGGTATTCAAAGGCCGTTCCCTGCCTGCGTTCATGCCTTGCCACTGCTAATGATGATCTGATAACAGGCAATTGATTTTGAGGCTGATGTATGTGGACTGGGGAATTATAGTACAGTATCTGGGCAATAATAAAATACATGTCTAAATATTTTCCGTAGTTTTAATGAAGCGAAACATGAGTTTGGCGTGCATGGAGTTAGTTGAGATAACTGTTCCGATATTAGTCGGTTGAAGGGACCATAAAACCAGGCTGATTTTATCATGGTATTAACAGATGAGTTTCAGAGGTGTGTTCGTATTTTTCGACTTCCTTAAAATATTCAATAATATAAAATTAAATATGTCTTTAAATCAGGCGTGGAATCAGTGGAGTGAGTGAGTTTAATTTTACGCCGCTTTCAGCAATGTTCCATCAATATCACCGCGGGGACACCAGAAATGGGCTTCACACAGTGTAATGTATGTGGGGTGCGTCATCAAACGTGGGTCTTAGGCGTGACGAGCTAAACATGGATCTTAGGCGTGACGAGCTATCACTTTAACCACTAGGCTACCCCACCGCCCCTCTGCCTCTAGAAAGGTATAGTAACTGAAACAGGGCCCTCATCAACTAAACGTTCTTAGCGCTGCGACTTTCGTAAGCTTGTGATAAACTATATAGTCACAATAGTTCTAGACTAACATCTTGAGTCTGAAAGGAATACGCGAAAACCAGTTCGTAAATTACATTCACAAAATATAATGAAAAGGAGCCCCAAGACTTTCTTCATTTTCAGAAATGAAACTGGGGTAATCTAGACTACTTTCTAGACTTGAATGGGCTATATTGGGTAGATTTATTTCCGGGTACGAATGACTACGATAGGTCGCAATGTGAATCGGGACACAGACTCCTTATACACGTTATCAAGACTCTACACCATCGAGGAAACTATACTGAACAGCAAAAGAAATGCAAGTTTCGAAAGAGATCTCATAAAGTAAGCGTTCATGTTGATGGGGGGCGGTGGGGTGGCCTAGTGGTTAAAGCGTTCGCTCGTCACGCCGAAGACCCGGGTTCGAATCCCCACATGGGTACAATGTGTGAAGCCCATTTCTGGTGTCCCTGGCCGTTGGTGGAATATTGCTAAAAGCGGCGTATAACAAAACTCAGTCAGTCAGTCAGTCAGTCAGTCATGTTGATAGAACGTTCATGGTAAAGTGACAAAAAGCCAGACTGCGTTTCTTTTGCTGTTCAGTATATTATCCTGTAAACGTGTCAACTTTACGGGTATTCGTTTTATTTCAGGGGCTCAGATTAAAGAAAATATGTATGGGGTGCAGGATAAGTGACTTGACAGCTACGGACTTGAATGACTTGAGACTGATGGTTTATACTTCAGTCACTTTTAAACCAATAGGAGTTATGATTTGTAGTTTAATGTTAGATGCCTAGTGAGTTGGCTGTTAAGCCACTTTGAACATTGTTTCAGTAACACGCGTGTATTTTATGTACATAGCCGATGAGACGTGACACTCACTTACTCACCCACGCTCATTCACTCACTCACACTCACTCACACACACACACACTCACTCACTCACTCACACAGCACACACACACACAGACACTATCACCCACGCTCACTCTCGCTCACTCACTCACACACACAGACACGCAGTCACTCATTCACTCACTCTCACTCACTCACTCACTCACTGGCAAGTCGGTTTGATGTTGGATGAGATCCAGGAGTGATGGTGGTGTTTGTCGACTTAGATGACAAACATAGAACACAGACTGGTCGGCGATCGCTGCTCATGATGGGCATACCCTTTGAGTTCGTGTTACTGTTGCTTGACCCCTACCTCGAAGTGTATACTCCTAACGTCAATGTCTTGGACATTAAAATTGCTATCCTTCCGTCTTTTTATGATCTCAATATCCATCCATTAAAGCTTCCATGGAAACCTTTCGTTGGTGTCATATTTTCAAATCTCGAAGGATTTTAACAATGTAGAGTTTCTTTTTGTGGCTAGTATACATGTACAACTGCCGATACCTCAAGCCAACACTCGATCAGAGATTGATCTTCAAATTACCTAATCGCTTGCATTCAGCTGTGAGTTTCCCATCAGGTTTTAATGACATCGACCATAAATGCACGGTCTCTCAATTTTATGTTAGTTTGCATAATTCGTTTGGGAATGGTTCTGGTTTATATTTATAATGAATACAATGTGCTTGCTCGGTAGTTGGTCAGTTAATCTCACCCGTGGTTAAACTTGCACCTGATGTTCTCTTATTAGACGGCTGTTGGTGAATGAGTGGGATGTGATTTGCCTGCAATCCAATTTGGTATCGAGTTTCAATTAGATGGCGCTCTTATCAATACACCACAAGCCGATCCACGGTACGGAAACACACGAGTGGTGATGAATGGTTCGGTTTCCTAATACATCACAGCTCGGGAGTTTCCGGTTTTCGATCGACCGCTTTCTGTCAGTCAAAATATCGGAGCATCCGTCTGTAAAATGCATTTCAAGAAGGACCAAGCTGAAAGAGGGATGAGAATAGACTGGAAGAGCAGAGCTTTCTTGTGTAAACTAAAAGGGAATAGTTAGGTTGTTGACCTTGAAGATGAAGGGTCAAGCAGATTCTGTCTAGCTGACCGTAAGGCTCTGGCTGGTTGATAATCTGTAATGAGATCCTGAAGATAAGGTGGAGCAAGTTTGTGTTTTGACTTAAACACAAGCATCAGTACTTCGTATTTCACCCTTTTCTCCACTTTCAACCAATGAAGGCGCTTCAGAACAGGTGTCATGCTGTCAGATGTCCGTGTTCTCGTCGCCACTCTGGCTGCTGAGTTCTGTACTCGCTGGAACTTGTTGATGAGGGTGTTGGGTAGTCCATACAACAGGGCGCTGCAATAGTCCAGATGCGAGAGCACATGATTGGACCAGCAAAGCAGCAATATAGGTAGTGATGAACTTCCTTATTTGGCTGATATTGCGGATATTGGCATATGCTCTGCGGCATATTTTGTTGATGTGTGATTCAGCTGAGAGACTTGACTCAAAGACAAATCCAAGATTCCTTGCCTCCTGTGCTGGTTTTATGACATGTTCTCCAATGTGAAATGATGGAAGACTCAACTTCTGTCGTGCAGATTTGGAACAAAAGATCATTAGTTCCGTTTTCTCGCTGTTCAGCTTTAAGAAGTGGCAAGCCATCCGCTGTTTAATGTCCTCTACACAGAGTGTCATCCGACTGAACGTTGAGCTGATAGATCTCTGGCCGATGGGTTTGAATGCAAGATATAGTCGCTTGTCATCTGCGTAGAGATGTATGGACAGACCATGACGGCGGGCTATATCTCCCAAAGGAGAAGTATATATGGTGAATAAGATCGGCCCTAAGAAGGATCCCTGAGGTACACCACAGCGAAGTTCTACCTTCATAGACACGCTATTCTTCATCTTCACAGCCTGAGTGCGCCCTGATAGATATGATTGAAGCCAGTCATAAGTGGAGCCGTCAACACCAAATCTCTGGTTTATGGTCTGCAGCAAGATGGTCTGGTCGATGGTGTCAAATGCAGCCGTTAGGTCTAGTAATACAAAAATGGCAGCTCCACTGGTATCAACAGCTTCCAAAATGTCATTCTGTACTCTAACAAGCGCAGTTTCGGTACTGTGCTGGCATCGATACGCTGACTGCATCACTTCAGCGTTGCCAGTGGCCATAACATGTTGGTTTAGCCTTGCTGCTACAACTCGCTCCAAAACTTTGGATACAAATGCCAAAATAGGAAACTGGCCTGTTTTTGCGTAGAAATTCTGCATCTAGGTTAGATTTCTTTATCAAAGGCGTTACTAAGGCTTGTTTCATGTTACTAGGAACAGTAGACTGCTCAAGAGACTGTTTCACAATGTGTGTGATGATTGGCACAGTTTCATCAAGACATTCCTTAATCAGCCACGTGGGTAATGGATCCAAACTGCAAGATTTGGTTGGTGATTTCAGAATGATCTGTTTAATTTCCTGTTCTGTTGAAGGTACAAACTTAGACAGAGGTTGGAGTGGGGCTTGAAAAACACTTGGTGTTGTACTTAAAGGTCGAGTTGCTTCGAGACTCGAACGAATCAGTTGTATCTTGTCTTGGAATAACTGACAGAAGTCCTTTGCTAAAGCATCATTTGACTTAGTGCTAGTAAGAACCTAGCACTAAGTAATCGAGTCTGGACCAGACAATCCTGTGATCAACAACATGAGCATCGATCTACGCATTAGGGATACGACCTTTCCTGGTTGGTAAGAGCTGCTAGCCACACCTTCTGTTATGAATGCAAAGAGTTCTTCTTTGTCCTTTGATTCTTTTGGAAAAGAAGCAAAGATCATAGGTAGTCTAGTATGACGGGAAACTTCTCTTCTACTGCCTTTTCTTCGCTATTCCTGTGGTTTCTCGAACAGAGTCATACTCAGGTGGTGCAGGACAATCTAAGAGCTCTGGTTTTCAGTTTGGCAAACGAAGTTTTCCATGAATTGCTATGGATGGTGGCCACGGGTGGTTTTCATGAGAAAGAATTGATTTAAATCAGATTGACAACCTGACTGAAGAGACTGTAGTC